ATTTTCACTGGTGAAAGCTATTTAGCCTCAGGGTTATTTCCATTTACAGCAACCTCTTTAATGTATCATGTACATTAAACAGATTACTGGCTTAGTGGTAGTGAATTCATTCTACTTTTGTTTATCTGGAAATTGTTTAGTACCTGCTTCAAGTACTACCAGTATCTTGCTGGGTAGAAGATTCTTAGGTGGCGGTCCTTCTGTTCAGTTAGACAGATATATCATGACATTAGATATATCATGCCACTCCCTTCTGGCCTGAAGAGTTTTTGTTGAGAAGTTTGCTGATAGCCTGATGGGGTTTCCTTTGTAAGTAATCTTTTTTCTCTCTCTGGCTGCCTTCACCACTCTTTCCTTATCCTTGATCTTTGCCATTTTAATTGTTAGATGTCTTGAAGTTGTCTTCCCGGGGTTCCTTTTGCTAGGTGATCTCTGAACTTCCATGATCTGAGTGTCTATTTCCTTCCCTAGATTGGGGAAGTTTTCAACAATTATTTCCTTAAAGAGACTTTCTATCCTTTGTCTTTCTTTTCTCCTTCTTTACCCCTATTATGCAAATATTATTTCATTTGGATCGGTCACATAGCTCTCTTATCATCCTTTCATTCCTAGAGCTCCTTTTTTCTCTCTGTCTTTAGCTTCTTTGTTTTACTGTTCTCTGATTTCTATTTCATTTACTCTTTCCTCTACATGTTCTAATCTACTTTTAAATCTCTCCATTGTATGTTTCATTTCAGATACTGTATTCTTCAGCTCTAACTGGCTCTTTTTCAGGTTTTCTATCTCTTTGTTGAAGTCCTTCCTGGGATCTTGAATACTTAAAATCCATGAGCATGTTTATGACTTTTATTTTGAAATCCTTATCAAGAAGACTGGTGATCACTGTTTCGTTTAGCCCTCTTTCTGGGGTTTTGTCTTGTAGTTTTGTTTGGATCAAATTCCTCTGCCTGCTCATTGTGTCAGGGATTCTGTGTTTCTTCCTTTGTATTGGATGTCTCTGCTATGCTTTCTGGTCTAAGGAGTAATAGCTTTATGAAGAAGGTGTGCTCTGGTGCCCAGAGGCTCCAGATTCTTTACTCTCTAGTGCCAGGTTCTGTTTTGCGAGGGCCCCAGTTGTTGGCATGCCATGGGCAGGGCTGCCTTTTATCTGGCTTCTGTAGTGGTGTAAGTCTGGATAGGCTGTTTGCTTGAGCTGCTGCATTTGTGATCGGCTCAGGAATCTCTACTGATCTTGCTATGGGGGGGACCACCCACTGCCTTGCCTGTAGCAGTGGCAGGCTGCAGGGTTAATGGGGTGGGCAGACCAATTTGCCCCAGGTGGATGTTTAGCACTGGGTTTGGACACCTGCAGGGAGGAAGGAGCTCTTGGACCTGGCTCCTCCAGGCACCTCTCTGGTTGGGCTGAAATGGAGTCAAGCAAGCTGGGAGGGTCTCTCTCTGCCTGACAGGCAGCAAAGTGTGATGCTGCCGCTGGGCCACGTGGGTTGTCTGTCAGCAGTACACAGAGGGAGGAGCCTCTGGGCTGTGTTGCCAGCAAGGGGGATGGGGCATCTGGGGCTCCTGAGAGTTCCCAATCCGTTGGGCCAAAGTGCTGGGGAGGTGTCCTCCACCTGCCCTTTCTCCCAAGGAGAGAGATCCATCCAACCCTCATCCCCTCTGGTACCCCTCCCACTGCTGGCAAGTTTCAAACTGCCACCTCTGCTTTGGGTCTCAGGACTGGTGGAGTGTGCCTGCCCTCCACACTGGCTGAAGTCTCAGCCTCCCAGAGAGTTCCACCTGCCCCTGGTGTCCAGCCCTGATAATCACCAAAACCCAGTGTAATGTGGGCTCCTGCTCCTGGAGCAGATCTGCAGGGCCAGGTGTGCAGTGCTCCTGGGCTCCTACCCTCTCCCTGCTCCATTCCTCTTTCTCCCACCTGTAGGCTGGGATGTGGGGAGGACTTGGGTCCTGCTCCATCTTGGCTTTGTAGCCTCACCCTTCTCTGTGTGGTCCTCTCTTCTTCCTCAGGTGCAGGGGTCTGTTCTACAGTCTTCAGATAATTTTCATGTGTTTTGGGGAGGAGGTTTCCATCTTGCCTTCTTATTCCACCATTTTTAATCAGAAAAATTGACTATATTACTTTTAACATATATTAAATACCAAATAGAAAAAGAAATAAGAAAACAGATAGGTACTCATATGTTGCTATAAGAGTATAAGTTGGTACAACTGCAGCGCAAGGCAGCATGGAGATATCTTTCAAAATTACAAATCCATATGCCTTTTGACCCAGGAGTTCCACTTCCAAAATATATATCCTGTAGATATACTTACACATGTATGAAATGACACAAGTAGAAGATAATTCAAAGCAGCATTGTTTGTACTAGTAAAAGATTGGGAACAATCTGAATGTCCGTTATGAAGGGACTGGCTAAATAAATTATGGTACATTCAGACAAGTGAATACTGCATAGACTGAAAGAATAATGAAAACTCTCTTTATGTATTGACAAGGAATGATTTTCAAGATAATTTTTAGTTGAAAATTATCAAGGTATAAAAGAGTGCTTACTAGTGGGCTACCATTTGTGTAAAAAAGGAAGAAAGTATATGTGTATATATATGGATTAAATTAAACCATATGAAATTGCCATTATTAGGCTGTTTTTGACCTGCAAAAATGATGACCAATTCCATTTGGTTCCCCCTAATATTTGCGTGAAGATGTATAAAATCTCTCTGTAAATGTACATTGTAAGTTGATAATATCGATTATCTTTGATGGGGGACAGAGCTGAGTTAACTAGGGGGCAGGAAGGAGGTTTTGAACACCTGAATGTTAAATCATGGGATGGGATGTACTATGCATTTAAAAAATAAATCTAAAAAGCTAAAATTATATATAAATAAATGTGATTAAGGAATATCATTTTCCTAACTTGTTCTAAAATGAAACTGAGAAATATGTTTCTACACTGAAGTAACCACACATTTTGGTGTTGCCTTTTTCCTTCTACTTTGTAAGGAAATTCTGAGAATTATCTTAAGAAGATAATTGTCTCATCCAAGAAGAAAATACCAGGGCCTTTAGTGTTTTGGGGGAAAAGAAAACACAATCTACATCACAATCCTGCCCACAGAGACTGTTTCTGAATATTTCTTCCTGGTGAGTCTACTTCATGACTCAAGGACATGAATTAGCAAATGAAACAGTGAAGAATGGAAACCTTAAAACAGATCTGAATGTGAACGCATTAAAAAGAAAATGACTGACTCTGTGCCTATTCTGTAAAATGCTCCTTGTAGTGGACATATTGAAAAACATTTCCTCAGCTACTTGGATGTTCACTCAAGAGGCTGGAATGTCAGAAGAGAGAAGGTTACACTTAGATTTGCCTCTTAGTAGGATTTGTATGTCAAGTGAATTAAATTTTTATGAAATGAAATTTCTAATACAGGTTTCATGTCTTAGGACTAAACAAAGTGCCTCATCTTTAGCCAGATCCTAGAACAGCAGGGGTATGATACTCTCGCCCTGTTGCTGCATAGGAGTTTTCAGTGAGAGGATACAATTTATATTACTGAATGCTAATGAATTTTAAATATTTTCTATTTCTTGAAACACTCACTACACAGAGAAGCAGCCTAGAGATTTTCTTGGGGGAAAAATATTTAGAACAAAGGCCCTTTCTACATTTCCGAATTTCTTCCTATTAATTTTTCAATGTACAGAATCACTGGCTCAAGAATTAGCATGCACTGTTAGGAAGTCATACATGGATGATGTTCTGAAAAGGCATATATTTCAGGGAAGTCTGCAAAAAGCAAACATCAGGAAAATTTTCTCTTTCTTGAAATATAAACACAAAAATTTGTCAATGACCTGAAGTTTTGCTGCAGCCCTGGGAGGTCATGTATTCATTGGACAAATATATGTAAATTCCCTACAACTGTATGAACTGTGGTCACTTTAATCACAGGAGCCTGAGTGAGCAAAGAAACACCAGGTTTACTTGTTTTTGGTACAGGTAATCTTTTCACACTCTTTGAAAATTGTTAACCTGATTATTAATTCATCTCTATGCTAACTTGGAGTTAACCAGACTACTAAACGTAGGAGGCCTTCCCCAGATCATTCTGTGTATCTGCACCCCCACGTCTCAGCCCCCGGCCTGCTATGTAGGTCTCCAGAGACATTCTCTGCTCTTTGAGAACTCTATGCTCAGCTTCATTTAATGAGAAGTGATCGCTTTAAAATGGGTCTAAGGTCAAAATGGACTCTGCTTCCTTCATAAAAACAGAATTAGAGACTGTTTCCTGTGCTGTGGGGTGAGTGACCTGAGAAAATACAGTTGCCTATTGAAATCCCTTCTACTCATTTTGTGCTTTAAAGTTCATGAAGTACTGCCACAGATACACCTTAGTTCATTCTCATAATAAACCCATGTAGTAAATGTACAAATGCCATTTTCCTCATTTGACAGTGAGACATCAGGACTGCAAGAGGTCTACAGACCTGTGCAGTTGGTGTGACTGGATTAGAAGCCAGTCCCTGGAAGCACTGCAGAGAATGGGGAGAGTGTGAGGAGGGGGCCATATGCAGCAACTTTGTACCCAGGTTAGAAAGAATTGTTGTGATGTGCTTGCTTGTCAGGATGTCCATACAAATGTCAAAGCTTGTCTATAAGTCTGTAAAGACTAAATGAGTACAGTTAATGTCCAGGTGGACTTCCCTGTGCAAATGTTGCCAGGCATTTACTACCATTCTGCATGACAGAGGATCTGAAATTGTGTCTGTAGTTTGCTATGCACCAAACACTAACAATTCAGTTTTCTTGAAGGTGCCAAAGGAACTTTCTTTGGCATTTAACCACAGTTTTACAATGTGATTAATTTGTACCTCACGTCTGGAGAATGCTTCAATTCACAAATCCTGGACAACTTTGTAGTCTCTTCTTTCTTTGAATTGATGTGCATTGCTTTTTGTCTGAAAATTAACCCAGCCCTTTTATTTCTAGCCCACTGCTTATGAAAAGAAATTTCCTGTGACCAGTGAGAAGGAAAATATGGACGACTTGGACAGGAGCTATTCAGTTTCCACATCTAGCAGACTCTTTCCAGTTGGACTCAAAGGAGAAATAGAGAAACCCCCTGTGACTTCAAGCCAAAGGATATCAACCAAAGACACTGCTAAATCCATTGCCCTACCTGGAAGCAAAAAGAAACTCTGAGGTTCCCTCCCATGCTGAATAGTACAGAAACAAGAGCTGCTCTTTCCAGTGCCAAAACAAGGGGATAGGTGGGGACAAGGACAGTACTATGCCAAGCTCAGCCTTTTAGCTCCACTGAGCCCTGCCATGCCTTTGCACCAGCTTAAAATTGACGCTGCTTCTCTACAGAGCAGCATATTAATGGATGGCCACCAACAGGCTTGATGGCGAGCTGTGACTAAAGTCAACTCAAGATGTTTCCAGAGTTGTTTGGAGGAACAGACGCCCTCAAAGCAAGGCTGTGGGCATACTTGCTCAGTTTTACTTCAGATTCTTGTATTTAGGCACAAATATTTGTAGGAGAAAATGAGAGCCAAGTATGGTAATTATCCAAATAATTATATGCACTTTGCACTAGAAGACTTTGTTAGGAAATTACTAGTAAACTTGCCATAGGCATAACAGAGGAAGTGCTTCAGCCATTCACATGTGTTCTTATGATTTTAGGTTGCTGTAGATTGTTTAAGGCAACTTATTTTAAATGTAGAAAAACAGGAGATTTTGTAACTGCTTGCCATTAACTTGCTGCTAAATTCCAAATGGATTGATTGAGTCAATAAAAAGCAGATGTTACCCATGCATGTTAGTTTTTATGTTTACACAAGATGATATGATAAGGCCCTCAAAGCCCTGACACAGGTGATGAGCTTGGCCTGCTGCTGCCCAAGCAGGCACACCTTCGGGGAAGGCCATCAGCTCCATGGAGAGGAGAACAGTCATTTCTCTTAGTATTGTAGGGATCCCCTGTCCACCTGGGCCAGCAGTTTTGCCATTCAAGGTCAACCTGGGTGAATAGATGCTTCACTGGGCCCTCCACACTAATTCTAATTTTCATTTGCTGTTACCTTTATAAAGTAGTAACCTAGTTTCATTCCAGCCTCTCTATGGGATTGCTGTTTAGGCCTCCAGAATGACCCACACCTGGCTAGCTGAGCACGTACTAGTTGCATATAAATCCACTCAGTGGCTAGAGGTAGCAGATGTGCTTCTTGCCATTAATTTGGAAGATGCTGTTGTGCTTGTGAGTGGGTCGAAGATAACACTGACATGTGTCGTTCCCTGGCTGAGTAGTTCTGTCAGTATTTTCTTAGTGCCTTCAGTGTGTTCCCCTGGGGGAATCTGCCAGCCAAAGCATATCTAGTTTAAATTGTCTAAATTTTATTTTAAAAGTGGAGTTGACAAAACTTCTTCAAGGTCTTTCTCCCTTACTGGTTATTGCTTCCAGTCCTACCAGAGGCTCATAAACCATCCCCTGAGTTGAGCATTCTCTCAGGGTTTAGTGAGCCAGTCTTTGAGGAGCACGTTCTGTTTACCTGCCGAGAAGCCCGGCTTCAGAAGCTAAGTGATTTCCCTTCCCTTGCAGCGCTCCTGGAGGCAGACGTGAGAGCGGGCTGCTGGCCTTGCAGAAAAGCCAACAAGGCAGTGGCTTTGGTTCTCTGTTCCCCTGGGCCAGAAAGTGGAATACTCCCTATTTCCAAACTGCTCTTATAGTGATACAGTCTTTTGTATCATGTATTAGAGCATTCTGTTGTTAAACTGAATACTATCCATATTTCTATCCATGTTTTTCTTTGGTCTTAAATCAGTGATTCTACTTGGTAAGCTTGAGCAAAGGTCCAGAGTGAAACACTAAGGGAAAGGTGAAGTCATTTCATACCTTTTCAGTGTGTTTGTACCTTTTCTTGCTGTGGCATCGGGCCAGGCCAACCATCCTTCTGCTCTGTCTAGACCTCATTTTATTTATGTGGAATCATTCTGATAGGAACTTAGCCCATTCTTTCTAAAGGGAATTTTCATATTATTTTTATTTCCTATTTATTTGTGTGGCACACACTTGAGTCAGGTCTTATCTGAAACTTTTTTTCCCCGAACTGTTGTACTTCTTTAATATCTGGGGACATACGGCCTTGCTTCCTCTGTTTGCTTTCATGCCGGTGAGAGAAGCATCTCTTCTGTTGCAGGTTGGTTCTTGGTGATGACAGGCCAACCCCAGGGCAGGGCGGAGGGCTGGGCTTTGCATTTCCTAGGGGGCAGGCACCTTCTGCGTAGGACAGTGCAGAGCAGGTGTTATTTCCAAGGACTGCATGTGCTGATCAGCACTCCATCTTGAATGACAGACAAGTCAAGGCAGAAGGAATATAGAGACTAAAAGAGAGAAATGCAGGTTTGGGGCTGGGGAGAAGTTCAGCTGAGGAGAACAGAATATGAGCTCAGAGAAGGACTTATATCAGGGAGGATAAATATCAGAGGCTTGGGGGAAGAAAGCAAAAGGAAAGTACCATTCATAAGGCACGCAGATTGGGGACAGCGCATGCTTCTGGCAAACCCAGAAGCAGGAATCAGGAGGGAGGCACTGTTGCTGTAGCCTTTGCACCAGTCTGAGGTCAAGCCGGCCCCCACGGCCTGCACTCCAGCCTGCCTAGAGGAAGACACGGGCGGGAGAAACCCAGGCCCGGGAAAGAGAAGCTGAGAGAGGCTGTGGTTTACGACTTGGCCACAGGACAGTCCTTACATTTGGAGTAGAAATGTTATGTGGTGTTGGGAGGAGGGAAGGAGGAAAAAAAAACATTTTATGCTTGTCACTGAAATGCTTTGTTTAAATAATTCTATTTGACTCCAAAATGTAAGTTCCAGGTTAGACAGATCAAAAGCAGCCAGTCTTGAAAATGAAGCTTTTTAAATTCCAGCTCTGCTGTTGGAATAGAGAATAAAGGCTTTGTTCAAACATGCATTCCCAGCAGTAAACAGGAGCTTTGAAATTGGCAGGGGAAGTTGTGTCCTATAATGGTTGCACTTGGCTGGAGACCATGAAGCTGTGGACTCTGAGAAATGACCCTGGGCTGGTTATTTTCCACCTGCCCCTGCAGAACCACTCTGCCTGCTCTGCCCTCTCCTCTCAGACAGGCTGATATCTTTAGGCACTGCATTAACAGGCTACCTTGGCCTCTGGACAAAGTGGGATTCTGTCAATGCAAGGCACCAACAGGACTTTGAGGAGGAGAGAGTGAGGTCCAGTTGTTGACTCCCCCAGTGCCTTCCACCCTCTCCTTCTACCGCCTCTGTTTGCTTTCACGGCTGTGAAAAAAGCATACACCGAAAAGGTGAAAAATGACTTCTGCCTGCAGCCGCTTCAGGCCGAGGCCTGGGGCTGTGGCCCTGGAGCACTATGTCTTCTTTGTGGGCTCCAACTCTCTCAGTACCTTTATACATAGCCTTTGTGTTAAGATCCCAACTACCCCATTTGACTGTACCATCCCTTTCCTCCTGGGACCCAAAGTGACCTAGACCCTTTCCTTGTCAGTTCTGCCCTGTTCCTGGCCAGGGGCACCTTGGCTGGGGTTGCCAGTCTCCTACCACGTAACAGTGAAGTGAGGAGCAGAAAGCCTGCATGAGACCTTCCTTCCATTGGTTCCAACGAGCTGATGCTCCTGGGCAGTCACAAGGGATGGAGGGAGGGGCTAGCAGGGAGATGTCAGGGCTGCAGCCCGGACCAAACGAGGTGAATCTAGCATGGCCCAGCTGAATCTGGAATTGCCTAGTCCAGAAGGCTTGTGGTTAGGTCTTAAATTCCAGCCACGATCTTTGGGAACCTAAGAAGGCAATACTTGTAATAGCCAGGAGAATAGACAGCCTGGGACAAGAGCCGCCCTCCGTGTCCCCTGGCTGTAGACTTGAGGACATGCCCAGGGCCTCCAGGGGAAACTGCGGTGGCCTGGAAGCTCAGGTAACCTGAAGACGGCAGCCTGGGCTGGGCATTTGTTTCCTCTCTACAGGCAGTAAAATCACATTACAAAGCATTTTTAAAGTAAATTTTTACTATTCAAAGTGCTTCCGTAGTTGAGCTTTACTCTTCATGACCTGTATTTTTCTGAGTGAGCCGGCTCAGGATTGGTTTTGATTGCTGTTCAGTACATTAGTGAGCCAAGTTTCTTTGCCTTTGGTCTTCAAAAGGCCGTATTCCATGTCTGTCCTGCGTTTTTGTGGCTGCCTTTCCTCAGTTGCTAGTGTGGTCAACTCAGCTCCGTACCATCTTCCCCAATTCTTCCCATTTGCATGAATTACCAGGAGCAGCCCTCTGCTGGAGTGGTGGGGATTCCCACCCTGCCCCAGGGGCCTCACTTCAAGCAGCAGCGCACAGGTGACAGCAACAGGGGAAGGACACCATGGGCTCTAAGAGACTCCCCTCTGTAGTGCCTGGTGCCATCCCAGACACAGTGAGCACAGGGCGGAGAGCTCGGAGGACTTCCTCCCCAGAGTGTGCAGTGGCCCCTGGCCTGGCATCGAGGACATGGCTGCAGATGCAGCCCCAGGACAGACTTCCTTGGATTCCGCAGCACCTTCAGGCCATGTACATCCTTGCCATTGATACAGAAATGACATAACCTTCCTGCCCTTGGGGGACTGAGACACAGTATTGGATCCACTCACCGTCACAGGGCTCTGCAGACAAGATCCTGCCACTGAGCTGTTGTTTAAAAAAGACTTTTGTCATCTGCACAGAAAGTTGTCTCCATCCCATGACAATCACAAGGTCCCAGGAGTCTGCATTTCCAATTCTGACCTGTGGGCAAGGCAGGCAGATGATGGAAAACACTGACACCCTCCCTGGACCTGAGGAAGAAGCCTTGTGTGCAGGTGGCAACCAGTATTTTCTGGTGCAGCCAGCGGTTTATGCTGAGCTGACTAGAAATTGAAGTCCTCTTGTAAGCTGGACTTGGAGTTGTGTCAGTGGGAGGGATGCTCCATTTTTTACCTAAAGCCTTTCTTTAAGGTCATGCTGTAATAATAGCAATAATGTTTACAGAGGACTTACCACATGCCAGACACCATTCTAAGCACCTTACATGTTTTCTTTTCATCCTTACGACAACATAGGAGGTTGGTACTATTATCTCTACAGAGAAATAAACTAAGGAACAGAGGTTAGGAAACTTGTCCAATATCACACTGATAAGATTTAGCAGAAATAAGATTTATACTGGTCAGGCTGAGATGCTCTGAGACCCGGAAGTGGAGAAGGCCCTTGAGATTTAAAGGCTAGAGTGGATCAAGGTGGATGGAGAGAAGGGAAAACAGATGTAAAGGGGGGAAAGGACGTGAAGGAGACCCTCCAGGTAACAGTGAGCTGTGTCTGAGGGAGGGCTCACAACCCAGAGCCTCCAGGAGACCCAGGCATCAAGGCGCATCTCGGCCACAGGGCAGCTTGTCTCCCTCGCTCGAGGACTGTGTGATGATTCTACTTTGGCAAGAATAGGATGAGGATGGAGTCGGGTGACATGAAGTGCCATTTAGAGAAGCATCCCTATGAGATGTGACCAAACCTCCTGCTCAACTGACTCTGAAAAGTGCCAGGTAACAAGCTCTCAATAGCTACATCATAATGACATCAGCAGTAAGGCAGAAAATGGTGGGCCAGATACTTTCCCGAAGCCCATATTTGCAGAATTATGGACTGTCTGCACTGTTCCTTCAGCATAACTCTCCCCAGAATAGGGTGCCCACTTCAGGCTCTGATGACATGCTCCCTGGGATGGGGGGCTCCTACCTCCTGAGGCAGATGAGTTCCACTCTGGAAACACACAAGTGCTAGAAAAGTCTTCATACTAAGTGTCACTGGCTCCTCACTGGCACCTTTGGAACTATTTGAAGTCTGCTCTTTCTGTCACATATGGCCCCTCAGGAACTGGAGGGGACCCCCAGGCACAGCCCCGTGAGCACCCCCTAGTCCAAACATCTCCACTCCTCTTGGACTCCTCAGCTGATGTGCTTCTTGGCCCTTCATTCTAGATCATCTGGGTCTTTTCCCAAAATAAATGCAGGCCTCTAAGTGTGGCCTGCCATCCCCAGTCCTCTGGACCCTGGGCCTTGTCACTGGGACCCAGTTGTCCCTATTAGCAAGGATTTGTGGGCAGTCTGGTTTGAGTTTACTAGGACAGTCTTTAACAACCATGTGTCCCTGAGCACATTTATTTTTCTACCGATGCCCTTGTGGCATACTCTCAGTGACCATGGAAGAGCCCTTTTCCAGCTTGGTGTCGGCGGGGAGTGACAGAGAGCATGCCTGGACTGGGTCTGAGGCTTGGAGCCCTGAGATTACCCAGGAAGACAGACTCATTTTCCTTAAGTGTCTGTCTTGTTAATTGCTCACTGAGATATACGGAGAAGGAGAAGACACAAACTGAATCATGGGCCTGCTTGCCAGAGAATGCATTAGTGCCTTAGTTCTTAGTTCCCGCTGGAGTGGCCCTGAGGAGCAGGAGAGGCTTGGCAACCTTGGACAGTCCCTGTCCTGGACCCTTCAAACAGGACAAGCATAAGGGGTTCTCTGTGCCTAACGCAGTGTCCTCTGGCTTCCCCAGCCACTGGGACACATTAACATCTATGCCTAAATTAAGTGGCTCTGAGCCCTCCCCCGTGTTGCTAGCAGGGATCTGAGTTTTATCAACGGATTCCCTCCCCAGACCCCTCTGGGATTCCCAGGAGTGCTCACACATGTCCCTGTTTACCTGCTGCTCTTTGCCTGGAAGCAGAGGCTCAGATGTAACCCTAGAGACCGGTGTCTAACTTCTGATGTCCCTGCCCCTTGCTTCTCTCTCCGGGTCTTCTGCCTCCCCAGCCTCTCTGTAGCTCCTGGGTGGCCAGGGACCGTGGTAACAGCTTCCCAGTAAGATGCCATGTGTCCAAAGTGATGAGAGAGTCCCGTTCGGACCTGGTGTGACAGAGCAGCCAGGGCCTCGGGGCTGTAGAGCGCCCCGGTACAGCTGCCGATGTGGATTCAGTGTGTTGTGGGTGGCCATGGGGGTTGAGTGAGCGCCAAGGTGTGCATGAGACAGGCCGTGAGGCAGGGTGGGGATGTGGGAAGCAACATCCCCTATACTGGAGGAATCACACAGAGGGACTTGGATGGGAGGGCCCTGGCTGCACCCTCAGGTCCTGGAGCTCCTCAGTCCTGACGTGCACCAGCTTTGCTTCCTATCTGAGCCCCAAAGCAAGTAATGGGATTTGGAGATGATTTTTTCAAATGTCAAGAAATGTGCTAGAAAGAGCATATGTGCCTATGATGAGCTAGCCACACTCATACTTGAAGTTTTGGGGTAACAAAATCTTTCAAAACAATGAGCCCATAAATTTAAAAAGGAGTCTTTGGGCACGTGAAGGGCAGGATTTAGCCCAACCTCTCACTGTAAGCAAGATTCAATGAAAAGGTGTTCTGGCTGCTCGGTGCCCCCTGGGTGGGAAGCTAGGCTGGGTGTCCTGCTGGAGGTGGGATACTGGGAGCCGGATGCTGGGTGGTCTCTCAGAAGCCTGTGCTCAGGTTGGCCCTGTTGGGTGAACCCTCTGAATCCCTTGTGGGGGCCACAGGCTCCATGACCTAGTCCCCCTCAGCTCCTGCAGCTCCTCACCTAGCAGGTGCCCCTCCATTGCCTGCGGGGTGGTGGCAGGAGCCTAACACTTAGCCACTGTGCTGGGAGGGGCCGGCAGGAGACCCACAGCTGGCTGGCTTTCTTGGAATACCCTTTATCAATCAGGTAGGGGTCCCCATCATTGCCTTTGGGGTTTAAGGGATTTTAAATGAGGTGTGTTTTAACTGGACAGCTTTTAGAGAGAATTTATTTGGGACCAAGGGAAGTCAAGGGGTCTGCAGTACTCCCTCCTATGGGAGCCACCATATCAGCCCAAGACCACGGCCGTCTGTCAGGCCTTCTTGGTTAATAAGGACACCATCTCTAGCTTCCAGCTTTTGCTTTGGCTGTGATGTGGTTGAAGGAAAATGGAGGATTTATAAGGTGCCAAGAGCCCAGTTGAGTTCCTGGTTTTGATGAATGGACAAACTTACACAGGATAGAATATAGAAGGGAGAACAGATATGAGGAAAGTGGTTTCAGTGCCACCCCAGAGGAGGATTTCTCACCTGGGCAGAGTGTAGGGAACCTCAAAGGATGGCAGAAGCCAATGTGGGGCACTGGAAGGTGTGATCTCGCTTATTTAAGAGAAATGTATTCATCTACTGATGGACACTTAGGTTGCCTCCATATCTTGGCTGTTGTAAACAATGTTGCAATAAACATAGGGGTGCATACATCTTTTTAAATTAGTGTTTTTGTTTTCTTTGGGTGAATATCCAGAAGTGGAATTGCTGGATCAGATGGTATTTCTATTTTTAGTCTTTTGAGGAACCTCTGTAATGCCTTCCACAGTGGCTGCCCAAGTTTCCATTCCTACCAACAGTGGAGGAGGCTCCCTTTTCTCCACATCCTCACCAACACTTGTTATTTCTTGCCTGTTTGGTATTAGCCATTCTAATAAGTGTGAAGTGATACCTGATTGTGGTTTTGATTTGCATTTCCCTAATGATTAGTGATGTTGAGCATCTTTTCATGTGTCTGCTGGCCATCTGTCTGTCTTCTTTGGATAAAGAAGTTGTGGTATATATACACAGTTTACTCAGCCATCAAAAGAGTGGAATCTTGCCATTTGTGACAACATGGAGGGACCTAGAGAATATTATGCTAAATGAAATAACTCAAAGAAGGACAAATACCATGTAATCTTATATCTGGAATCTAAAAAACAAAACAGATGAACTAACGAACACTCAAAAACCAGAAACAGACTCATAAATACAGAGAACACCCTGGTGGCTGCCAGAGGGTAGGAGGATTGGGCTGGGTGGGGTTGGTGAAATAGGTGAAGAGGATCCAGAGGTACAAACTTCCAGTTATAAAACAAGTACAGCAAAGGGCATACAGTCAATAATATTGTAGTATCTTTGTATGTTAACAGATGGTAGCTATATTTATTGTAGTGAGCATTTTGTAATGTATATAATTGTTCAATCACTATGTTGTACACCTGAAACTAATATAATATTATGTCAACTATGCTTTAATTAAAATTTTAAAAGCTAAAAAAATTAAAGAAATGCAGACTCAAAGCCTGCTGGGATAAGGCCTTATTCAAGCCCCTTGTCCGCATCCAGAGATCCCAACTGAGGCAGAAGGCACCACCCAGGCAAGACTCAGGGAAGGGGAGCTCTGAAAGCCTGATATGCCCCCCATTTCCTGCCTTCTCCTGGCTCTGGATGAAGATTCTAAGTAATATCCTCCCCCTGTAACCCCAGGATTATAAATACAAGCGACAACATACACATCACAGCACTCTGGCATGCAGCTTCTCAACCTCACTGCTGCAGGGAACAGATTTGAGCTGGCCCACATGATCTGTTTTGACACATAAAACTCAAAGCCTATTGCTAGGCGTGGACTGCACATGGTGAGCCCCAGCCACACAAGTATGCCAAGAAAGCGCCCGGGGTGTTTCTGGTAAAACTTCAGTGCTGCTGCCTCCTGAGGACCTGGATGCAGACATGGGGGCAGTGTGCTCCTGCCCAGGGCCCAGTGCACATGAGTCCTGCCTCTACTGGGTATCACTCAGGAACCACAGCTCCCACCCTGCTCATTCCCCTGGGGCCTCTCTAGAATATTCCATGTATGGCTGACTCAGGAAAGAGGGAAGGAGTTGTGTTTGTCCTGTTGGAGGGCTGGAAATCTCAGTGGCCCAAGAGCCCAGGGAGTGGGCTGTGTTCTCCAAGCTGCATTTCCCCCAAGGTTCACTGATCTGCTTCCATTTTCTAGGGAAAGAGAATTCGAAAATAAGTAAGTTGCAGACAACTTGCTGTTGGCAGCATGTATGAATTACATGTTTACTATTAAGGAATATAAGCTTAACCACATTATAAAACAATTCTCTGTGAAGCTTAAAATCATTCAATAGTTCTATTATTCTTACCTTGGTGGTGCACTGCTAGTTATTTACGTAACACAAATTCTAGTTCATCACCAATAATGAGTTTCTTTCTGTACAGTAATGTGGGGAGGGAGTGGTGAGTAATGGATACCTCCAAGGTAGCCAGAGGATAGAATATTCACATTTGAACTAACTCAAATGCCTACCTTCAATGCTAGCTGGGGGGAAGTTACATATTGGAAACCCTATTTTTGCAAATATGGTCACTACCCATTGTAGGGTTAACAGACAGGCAACTAAATCAATATCCATGAAGCTAAATTAATACTGGTGTGTAGTTCAAAGCCTAGCAGCTAATTACAACCGCAGCTGCTCAGGATAGCGTTCCTCACACCCGGCCAGTGTGCATTTGTGTGGGAGCTTGGCGACCTCAGTGCTGGCCAGACTTCTCAGGAGGGCTCAACGTCAGAATCCTCCACAGACTCTGAAAACACAATAAATTTAGTTTATGTCACATGATGGGAAAAATGGTATTTGTTAAAATTCCTCCTGGGAAGGGAAACATACTTGTCTGCAAAACATCCTTTGGTGCGTCCTTGGGCTAGAAGATGAGAGGGCCACCTGATTCCTGGCGGAAGGCCTGAGGGAAAGACGGGGGCAGTGTCCATCGCTCAGAGAGAGGAAGCGAGGGCCGAGCAGCCAGATGGAGACAGCCCTCCTTCAGCAATGCAACCTCTCTGTGTCAGCATCTCTGCTACAGCCTGAATTGTATCCCCCACCAAAATCCGTATGTTGAAGCCCCAATCCTTAATGTGACCATATTAGTATTTGGAGATAGGGCCTTGAGGGAGGTAACTAGGTTAAAGGAAGTCACAAGGGCAGGGCGCTGATGGGATCGGTATCCCTAGAAGAGACAGGAGAGCTGTGTGTGCTCTCTCTCCCCTGCTGCCGTGTGAGGACACCAGAAAAGGCCACAAGCTGGGAGAGGGTCCTGGGCAGAAACCAGCCCTGCAGGACCTTGAACTTGCACTTCTCAGCCTCCAAAATTGTGAGAACATACATTTCTACTGTCTGAGCCACACAGTTCATGCTATTTCACTATGGCAACAGGAGCTGATTCAATCCCCTGACTCCACCCATCTTCCCCTCCTTCCACCTTGCAAAGTACCCGAGTGCCAGCGGTGGGTCAATGGCCAAGGAGGGGCTGGGCCCTGTGCTCTGACTGATGTTGGGTGGGCTTAGGTGGACCTGAGGGCAGTATGAGAGTTGGTGGGTGTGAGAAGCTGGGGAGTGCCAGAAGCCTGGGGAGCTCGGAGATATCTCGTGTAACTGCATTTGGGAGCAGCAGGGGCCTCAGCCAAGAGGTTCCCCATGTATAAGATCAGCGTTAGTGACCTTGGAGGGTGACATGGTTGAGTGCTGGTAGGAAGGCCAGGGATGAAGGACAGGGAAGATGGGAACTGCATGTGATTTGTGGCTAAGAGCCAGAAAACACGTGTGCTCAGACAGTGGCCCAAGGAGGATGATCCCCGGACTTCCAAAGCCACAGGGGCAGCACCCCATGAGGACCGGTGCCGGGAGGTGGTGTCCTAGCGATGAGCCTCAGGAGGGAACCAGCTCAGGTTTCCCAGCTCGTGGTGACAGGTATGCTCCTCCAGGCCCCCCAGGTCCTGCTTCCTGCTGCCTGAGCCCCCTAGGAAGGGGAGGGCTGTCCCAGTGGCAGCAGAGCCACTGGACCGGAGACCATCCTGGGCTCCCCATAGGGAGGCCACCTCCTACGTGTTCCCTACTTTTCTCCCATCATATTCCTCCCAGCCATGCCCAGCCCCAGCCTTGCCTTACGCTACCACTGCCACCCTCTTCCTCTCTGGCCCCCAGGCCACCTGCCAGGCACTGCTGCCTTGTCTTTATCTGGGGTTCCCAGGAGGGCAGCGGCACTGACGGCGTGTCACTGAGCGGGCCTGTGTGGTCGGCTCTCCGTGTGGTGTCCACACCCTAGCAACGTGGCTTTGCAGCCCCTGCACCAAGAGCTGGAGCCTGTTCCCTCACCCCTGAGCCTGGGCTGGCCTTGTGATGTGCCTTGGCCGGTCAAATGAGGCGGCAGTGACTCCTGACAGTCCTGAGCTTCCAGAGGCCTCATCTATTTCCTCTCTGCCTTGGCATGAAAACAAGCCCAGATCAATGAGAGACCACAGAGCCCAGCCATCCAGATGAGCCCCAGGAAAGACTCTGTGTGTCTTCTTCTCTCCTTCCAGGGACACCAGTCGTAGGATTTAGGGCCCACCCTAACCCCAGGACAATTTAATCCAGAGAGCCTTCCCTAACTACATCTGCCAAGACCCTCCCTATTTCCAAATAAAGTCACATTCTGAGGCTCCAGGCAGATATGAATTTGGGGAGACACTGTTCGGTCCACCACACTCCCCATGGTCTGCCCTCTGCCACCCGAACACATGTGCTTCCTCTGCCCCTGCCAGCCCTACAGAGATCCTGCGCTGTCTGCGCCCACCCCGCCTCTGCTTCATTTCAGGTCCAGCAGCCCACTCCTTGCTCCACGCTCTCCACGCCTCATCCCAGGTCAGGGTGTCCAGACTCCTGACTCTCCTGTTCATCCCACTCTAGGCCACCCAGTGTCCAAGTTCCTCTTAAGACAGGCCCCTGGACACTGAACATGTCACTGTAGCCATGGGGGAGCAGTAGGGGAGCAGCCACCCCTGAGTCTGGGCTCTGGCACGAGTCGCCGCACACTCGGCTGGGGCTTCTCCAGTCTTTCTCCAGCCCTTGTTTCTCACATGAGCTGCCTCTTCTCCTCCATCTTCAACTCTCCCAGTTGATTTTTTGCCCCCAAATTCAGGATGTTGCATTTACTACTGTGAGATCCCATCTCCAATCTCTGGACCTGGTACTTCAGTCTCAAGAATGGAGAATTTGGACTCGGTGTTGCCCTGTGCTTCTCGCTAAGGCCTTGCTTGGGGGAAAGCACCAGAGTGCTGTGTAAACTGCCAGCTTTGAGGCCTCAGGCCTGCAGAGGTGATTTTTCGGCTCCCCCTTAACTCTGTTCTAGGCATCCCCAAGCCACCTCCAGCCCCAGGCCAGGCCCACAGAGGGGACAGTTGGCCCTCATGCCCTGCCTTCATGGTACCCAGGGACCAGCTCTCTTAAACTGAAGGGCCCTGAGTCAGAAATTCAGAGAGAACAGACATCTGCCTGTTTGAGTCCCCCTACCCAGACCTCCAAGTCTTCATTTAGGAAAATAAGAAAACACAAAGGTTGAGGCCCCTTGGGTTAAAGACCCAGCATCTCAGGCCTAAAATGACCTTCAAGATCCTAAAAGCAAGGCGGAGCAGGTGTGGTCCAAACAGGCAGCTGTCCGGGGGGCCGTTTGCATCTCCCCAGGCCCTGGCACCTTACCAGGGCCCGACCTCTAGGACATCCCCGTGCATTTTGCACTGGGAGCTTCAAATTTTACAAATTAAGAAACTGAGGGCAACAGGAAGAGAACTCAGACTGGCCAAACTCCAGCCCCAGGGCTCTCCCTGCACGCACAGACCAGCCGCCGTCTCCACCTGGCTGGAGGAGCAGGAAGGGAGGAGAGGTGCGGAGCTGCCGGCCAGCTCTTCCCTTCCCCACCTCAGCCTCTCGTCTCCACCCAACCTTGCTTTCCACACAAATTAGGAAGCAGTTCTGCCAGGTAGGACTTGCTCAGCTCCCCTTCCCTCTGGAGGCTCCTCTCAGGGCCCCCTTAGGTCAGAAGCTGGTGGCCACCCCTCCCCGCTGACCCCTGCCCCTGGGGCTCCCCTGCCCAGCCTCCCTGCGGCTCTCCAGGCAGCACCCTCCTCCCTCCATCAAGTTAACACACCTAGGCTGGATTTTCTAAGTATAAATTAACTAATTAATAAATACATACAGTAAAAACTCAAACACCACTGAGAAGTGCAAAGAAGGAAGTTAAAACAATCACCTGAGATTTCACCACCAACAGATAGTAACTGCTAACATTTTGGTGACTTCAGAGCACCAGTCTCTTGAGCTGCTTTCTGTCTCTCACTCTCTCAATGAATATGATTTTACATGTGTCATACTATAAATGCACTTTAGTAACCTACAGTTTTGCCTAAACAATGTATAAAGGATATTTTCCATGTCAATAACTACAGATTTATGTCTTTGTTATTTTGGGCAGCCCAGTGTACTGTTTGCCCCATAACAAGAAATACTGGCAGACTGTGTATGAATTTTTGCTGTGACTCACACTCTTGAAGGATCTTTTTCTATCCATTGCTTGCTTGTGATCAGCCCCTTTCCATAAATTCCTGGATGTGGAGTGGCAGGTGAAAGGGCATATGTATTTCATGTCTCGACTTGACTGCCTGACAGCCTGAGGGGGCTGGGGCCTCCCACTGGGCCAGAGTAAGTTGACCCTCAGATGAATGGAAAGCTACTGCCAAGCAGGTACCCTAGACAGCTCAACTGGGCTCCGTGAGGGCAGGGGCCAGGCTCCCATCTAAGGGGAAGGAAGGCTTCAGGACTAGAGGGGTTAATTAAAGAGGGGCCAAGAAATTTATATACACCCAGAAATGACTGACAGGTGCTAATTTCTTCTTTGGTATTCATAGTGGTTTTCTGTTAATTAAGAAGAGAGAGAGCCCAGGGGAGGGGGGTGAGCCAGGCATCCTGGCATAGGCAGGTCAGGCCAGCTGCACATGTGGGGCCTTCTGGGAGTGAGGTGGCTGGGGCAGGGCTTGACCTTGAGGCCCAGAGAGTGAGGTGGACCAGCTCTGAGCTGGGGACAGCCAGCCTTCGGGGGCTTCCCTGGGCACCAGGCAGTACTGAGCATGGGGCAGGGAGCAGCTTCTAGGTTTCTTCTTTTTGAACCTGGGTGTCCGCTGGCCCCCAGAAGGGACTGGGGACACATGAGGCTTGGGTGGAGGCTTGAGGTCTCCCATTTCCCAGAGAGTCCTTTCCGTATCCTTGGGCAGGGGCCAGGTGGGCAGCATTCTTCCCCCATGGAGAAAATGAGGCTGCTCTGAGGTCTGTAGAGTGAGCATACGCTTGCATGAGTGTGGTGTGTGGGGAAGGTCCTGCCCTCTGTTCTTGGGCCACACGAGGACAGGTACAAGGTGGAGACTGCCCCAGGCACCTGCTTCTGGTCACCCTTCATCTCCTGCTCATGGCTCCCCTTCCCCTGGAAGCTGGGACTGAGCTGGCACTCTAGTCTGGGTCACTGTGGACAGCTGGGGCACCTGATGATGCCTGACCTGATTAGACAGCCTGGGTTTGGGTGTGTGTACATGTGTATATGTGTAAGTGTGTGCCTGGCATGTCTGTGTGATCATGAGTGTGTTTTCATTTTCTTGCCTACATGTGCATCGTGTATATCATTATGCATGTGCAAATGTGTGTGTGTGAATGTGAGTGTGTGTCTGTTTCCTGATTGTATCACTTTCAAGCTATGTGTCTTTGGGCTAGCCACTTTCTGACTCATTTTCCTCCTCTGTAAAATGGGAATAATGATACTTCTCATTTCATATGGTTGCTGTGAAGATTATGTGAATGTGTGTAACACACCTAGAACATTTAGCATGGAATCCCCTTCCCTCCTCTACTACTCTATTTGCTTGGTGAACTCCTACTCATCCTTCAAAACACAAAGGTTAGTCATCATCAGATTCATGTCACAGTGCAAGAAGATCTTCCCCTAGAACCCGAGGCTCAAGGGCAGAACCCCAGTCCCCAAAGAAGCAGGGGGCCTCACCTGTGCGGCAAAGGGAGGGCTCTGTTGGCCAAAGCTCCTCACGGGCAGCACAAGATGCACAAGCAAGCATACATCCACCTGGGGGTTTTGCACAGGCCTCTACAGTGACACAGGTAGACACAGAATGTACACGTACAACTCCCATGGACACTGGAGGTGCAAATCTTCAGTGTCCTTGGTGTTCACAGAGATAGGACTCATATCCTTTGCACATACACAGTGCACACAGATGTAAGCCATATGTTGTATACAAACAGTATAGAGGCACAATTTCTATGCACACATACAGTACTTCATTTGCACATGTACTAAAATTTACACTTTGTACACACACATTTTGTATACCCACAACACACACATGTGTACGCACATAGTGTATGCCAGTAAAGGGTAAACATGCTCTTTATACACCTGCAATGCAAGAATGATGAAAACACATGCTATCCCACAAGCCATACAAACAGGTCTATGACTGTCATCCTGAGAAAAAGCCACCCTGAGCCAGTGCCCCTCCCTTTAACCTTCAGCACTGAAGGCTGCAAGGGACCCACAGATGGGGAATTAATTGGTGTCATTAACATGTGGCCATGATAATGACTTCCCATCTATCCCAGTGGCAGATGTATGGCTACCCCAGGTGGGGCTGGAAGCCCAGGTTTGGGGCCCAGGCTCCCTTGCAGAGCCCTGACCTTTGGTGGCCATGCCAGGAATCCCTGTTCTTCCACCCAGGCCAGAGTTCCCACAGAGAACAGAGGTGAGAGGAAACAGAAATCCAGGAGAAATAATCAACTTGCCCAAGGACACCTGGCCTGCTGGAGGCTGGGGCCCACCCGGGCAAGAGGACTCCAGCGCCTCCTTCCCACTGTCTTCTCCTTTTCTGCCACCTTCCGCCCCCATCTCCCATTCTCTCATTAGACGTTGCTCTGTCTCACCGTGGTCCCTCTGGGCTCTAGCTGTCTCCCGTGTGGCTGGCTGTGCTCCAAGTCTCTGTTCTTTGTCCCAGGGGCCTTAGTGGGCCCAAGACCATGAGGTGGAGGGGCCCAGATGGAGGGAGCAGAGGGCCTGTCTGAAACAAAAAGGGGGTGGCCATTGGAAGAACAGACAGACAGACGGACCAGCAAACTCCTGCTCCTCCTTCAAGATGCTACCTCCTCCAGGAAGCCTTCTCTGACAGGACCCACCCTTGGGACCCTGGGGCCCCTCTTCTGATGCTTCCTCGGTACTTTTTTAAACTACATTCAATTCCTCGTTTCACAGGATTATACCCATTTATTCATCTGCTTCCCTGATGTGTCATGAGCCCTTTTCTTAACGGCTTTATCTAATGTAACTTTGTAGCTGCTTCGGACTTAGCCCAGAATAGGAAAACAGTAGGTGCCTAATGAATGCTGAATAAAAGGAGATGGGTTGAGGCAGACAGAGAAGAAGGCTGAGACCAGAGTTGGAGGGAGAAATGGAAAGGGGCAACAGAGAGCATGTGTTCCAGGATGCAGTGGTAGGCAAGTAGGTACTTGAACCTGGAAGGCTGGCCTGGAGCCCAGAGTTGGGCAGAGAGTTTGGGCTCTCTGGGACCCACTAGAGGCTGTAGGGTCCTCCTTCCCATCTTGGAGCGAGGCTACTTTCCTCCTTCTATCTGGTCCTTGATGGAGAGGAGCCTGCAGGAGGGTAGCTGGGGGTCCTGCAGCTGGGGGCAGAGCTGGAAGGTGGCAGCGGGGTAGGGGGCATTTTAATGGGATCCAAGGACAAGGATTTAAAACTCTGAGGATTCATACATGGGCACAGAGGCTGAGTTCATTCCCAGCAGCCCCCTGGAAGCCCAGCCTGGGTCAGGCCCCTGGGGACACCCCCAGACTGCCTGGTTGCACTGAATTTGTTACTGTCACTGTATTTCCAGGGTTTCTAATGAGCTGCTAATGAGCTGTCAGCTAATTATGAGAATTAAATGGGGCAGCCAGGCTAGGCTAAGCTTTTACTGAAGGCTTTTGGAGTATCAGGAGGAAGGACAGTTCCCATCATCAGCCTCCTGGCCGCGCACCTGATTCTGGGTTGGATGTATTTGCCTATGGAGAGAGGTGGGGGGAACTCTGCAGCCCCAGAATAAGGCAAGTTCCAGCCTTTCAGCTGGGAGGGGCTGCACACTGAAGACAGCCCCTGGCAGGGCAGGCAGGCCTCCCAGTGGGGGACGAGCAACTGAGGCATCCCAGAGGTCTGACCCTGTGTGCCTCAGGCAAGTCCCTCAGTATAGAGTCCATCTTCCTGTCTGCAAAATGGGTCTGGAAGAGGCACAGGGCCAAATCAGATGCTCTCTGCAGACCCTTCCTCCCTTCTCAGTCCATTATGACTCTGTAAATCCTCTCTTTTCAGATGTGGCCCAGATGCCTCCAGTTCTTTGAAGTTGGGGCAGGGCTTGCCTGGGGTTTCATGAAATAATTAGTGAGCCTGAGTAGAGAAACTTTTCACCAGCTGAAATGAGTACATATGTTGACAAAGACAGGTACAAGGATGTTCAGACCAGCTTCAATCATAATAAAGGCAAACTGGAAACAACTCAAATGTCCGTCAAAGGAAGAAAGGATAAAAAACTTGACAGAGTCATACAATGGAGTAGTATGCAGCAAAGAAAAGGAACACACTATTTATATGAGCAGTCTTTGTCTTACATGGTTCTGATAAGCACAAATTTCAGTTACCAGAGTTTAGTTAAATAATACTAGTTTCCATGATATATTCACTATAATTGCATAAAATACAAACTTCCCCACAGGCTTTTCAGTCCACAAGTCACTATGTAAACAGCAGATGCACTTCATGATCTGTGACCAATCACATTACTTCTTTCAAAGCCTGTCAGTGACTGGCCACTGGCACCTGCTGTTCGTGTCACACACATGCAGTTGTATTGCCTCCTTGTCTCCAAGTTATGAACCCATGTGCCATTTTACAAAATAAATAATTGAAAGCAGGAATTCGTCAACCAAGAGGAAAGCTGAACAAAGAAATGAAAATAATAGTGGATGGAATAGTGGAATAATAGTGGAATGGAAATCTAAATTAAAAGTAATTGGAGCCACAGAAGAAAAAGCTGACCACGAGAATGCTGACGTGGCCCGTGTCTGACTGTGGATACTTTGTGAAGGAACTTTGTGAAGGCCAACTTACGGACATCAGTGAGGAGCACGGCTGTGAAGGGAAGGATGAAGACGTCCCACAGAAGGAACGCTAGCGAAACCCTTCACATGAAGGGAACTTCCCAAGATATTTGACTACTTTGAAAACACAAAGGATA